GGGCCTGCGGAACCTGTGGAGTTGTCACAGGAAAGTTTGCTGGAGAACGTGTTACACGATCTCCTGGATGGGGCAGAGTATGGCCCAGACGTTCCACCGGAGTGTCAAGAGGTGATGAAGGATGATTCGCCGAATGTGGGGGACCTGGACGTAACTACAGTGACGCGGTTGCATGTGGTGGAAGTTCACCAGGAGGCTTCGTCTGGTGAGATGTGTGTGGAAAGTGGTTCCCGCAAACGGACGGCAGGAGTGTCGGATATGGACGAGGTCCTGACACCGGGACAGCGCCCAGGGAAGAAATTATGGTCGAAAGTGGCTTAGGCGCCCCTTGCGGAAGGGGTTGTGGCAAGCGCCCAGCATATGGGTAGGGCACTGGGGGGTGAGGGGGGCCTTGGGAAGTCAGAGGTTAAAGAAGGTCAGTGTAATGTACGTGTGGGAACGGGAAAGACCCACAAACAGAGGAAAACCTCCTTTTGTGAATTCAAGTGTGCTACCATCAACATAAATGGCCTGCGGGTGGAGGTTAAGTGTGTGTGGATGGAGTGGTTTTTGCGCAGGTACGCTGTGGATGTATGCTTCATACAAGAACACAATTTTATGTTTGGGCGAGAGTTATGGTTAAAAGGCTACCGAATGTATGTTAGCAGTTCTTTAAAATTTAAGGGTGGGGTAGCTATAGCGGTGAAGGAGTCCAGCCCTTGGCGTGTCTTGAGATGGGAGGAGGGGGGAGGTGGGAGGGTGGTGAGGGTAGATGGGTACTGGGGTGAGGTGAGGGTTTATTGGAGTTTACATGCCTGCGGAAAGCATTTCTAAAGTTAAAATAGATTTCGTGAGGGAGGCTTTAACGTTTTACACTCAGGGTTTGCCTTTAATTACGGTCATGGGTGGGGATTGGAATTGCGTTATCCGCCATAGCGATGTTGAGCCGAGGGGGGCGGGGTGCGTTTTACCTGTCTTAAGGAATCTGCTGAGGGATGCAGGGGTTTATGATGTGGTGGGGCGGGGTGGGTGGAGCACACGTTCGTTCGCAGGGGCTACGGGGCCCTTCTGGATAGACTTTATGTAACACAAGGAATAAGAGTTGGGGGCGTACAGACCTTTGATGTGGGGTTTTCAGACCACCGTGCAGTGCTAGCGGACCTGGACTGGGATGGAATGATCAGGGTTTATCCAGGTTATTAGAAACTGAACATGCGGCTATTGGAGGGGGAGGGGGATGGGTCTGCTTTTCAGGACTGGTGGAAGAATCGCTGGGAAATGCGGCGGGCAAGTGAATGTTTGTTGGAATGGTGGGAAATGCGTGCCAAACCCGAAATAGCAAGTTGTTATAATTAGCGGGGGAAGGAGGAGGCGAGGTGGAGGTATGGGCTACAAAACTATCTGGAGGGGCAGCTAAATGATTACTATGTAGGGGGCGGGAGTAGTAGGTATGACGACATTGAACATCTTCATAGTCGCCTTGCAGAAATTCACAATGAACGTTTCAATGTGGTTAGAGCCAGAGCAGGTATGGAAGAAGTGCTATGGGGTGACAAACCTTCGGGTTGCGTCTTGCGCAAATTTAGGGTCAGACAACAGGCGACGTCCCTCTTGCAATTGGAAGTATGCACGGGTTTGGGTGGTTACCTGCCGGGTCAAGTACTCCTCACCACAGATAGCATGAGTTTTTATGCAGATCTATGGTTTGGGGAAAAGCTACGGCGGGGAGTAGGGGGGGTTCATGCGGGTGGCCTGGTGGGGAGGGATTTCAGAAAAGTTATGTGACAAGGGTAGGACGGTACTAAAAGGTAGAATTCGAGTGGAGGAGGTAGAGGAGGCGATTTTTAGTATGAGTAAAGGAAAGGCACCAGGCATAGATGGCATTTCGAATTACTTTTATAGGGCGCATTGGGGATGTATTAAGCATTGTTTGGTTGATGTATTGAATTGCATGCTCACGGAGGGGAGGTTAGGTATGTCGCAAAGTACGGGGGTAGTTGTGTTGGTGCCCAAAAAGGGAGGGGGGAGGGGTCTGAGTGTATATAGAACAATATCTCTTATGTGCTCGGACTATAAAATCTTTGCAAAAGTTTTAGGAAACAGAATGAGGAAGGTTATGGGGTCGGTTATTCACGAGGAACAGCTAGGTATACCAGGTAGAAGCATGAGGGAAGGACATGTACGTATTAGGGAGTTTTGGGGGGAATGTCAAGGGGGGGTGTCCTCGGGCTTGACTGGCAAAATGCTTACGACTGTGTTGATAGAGATTTATTGAGGCTTATTTTATTGAAGCAGGGTTTTGGAGAGGGGATTGTAAGATGGGTTGATACTTTGTATGCCTCGGCTATGGTACGAGTACAGGTAAACGGTAAATTGGGGCAGCCGGTCCGTATGGAAAGGGGTTTGAGGCAAGGGTGCCCCCACTCACAGCTGCTTTTTGCTTGTATGCAAAACCCCTTTTATGAGCTGGTGAATGGTGGTTTGAGGCGTGGAACGCTGAGCGGTGACCATGCAGCGCATGTGGTCGGGTACGTAGATGATACCACGATTTTGTTAAAAGGGTAGGAGGATTTGCAGACCGTGGGATGGATTGAGTTTTTTTGGGCAGAGCCTGGCATGTGCGTCAATAAGGCAAAATCGAAATTATTGGAGGTGGATGCATGGGTGGGGGGGGGTTTGGGCGAAAGGTATGGGTGGTCAGTCGTGGTGCAACTTAAAATATGTGGTATCGTGTACACGGCAGATGAGAGGGAGGGCCGAAGGGTAAACTCTGAATTGGTGGTTAACAAGGTTTTAGATTGACTTCGGGGGTTAAGAGCAGATGTCGTCTCATTGCAACAGAAGGCAGTAGTGGTTAATACACTTGTTTATAGTAAGGTATAGGGTGTGGCTGAGGTGTACCCTTTATGACATGTGGATATTCAGGAACTGGGGTTTTGGGAGAGCATGGTTAAGTTGGGAGGTTGTCATGACTCATGTTCGTCGTGGAGGTTTAGGTCTCTTGGCGTTGGGGCCACGGGTGAAGGCCCTCTATGTAAAGCAGCGGTTCCTCACGGCGGTGAGAAGGGCATCCGGGTGGGTCAGGTAATGATCGAAATGCGCAAATGGTGGAGCGGCAGGGAATTAATCGAACTTTAGGACATGTTGTGTTTGTTGTTAAGGTTGAGAAATGCACAGCGGATCCGGGTGGGGCAAATGGTCAGCATTTGTTGTCATGGGGAAATTGTGCAGGGATTGTCTGTTTTTCCGCTGTATAACTGGGGGAAAATATGGGACGGGTTTTGTAAACTTAAGTCGGCACCGGGGGTTCGTGAATTGGTGTACAGATTTGTCATGGGGATTTTAGCATTAAAATCGGTCTTAAATAGGATGGGTTTGGTAAGAGAGGCGAATTGCTTACGCTGCGGTCTAGAAGAAACAGCTTTTCATGCGGTCTACTTTTGTGATACCAAAGTTCGTTCGTGGTTGGGGCGGGTTTTAGATTTTCTTAGTGGGGGAACTATCTCAACCTTATGGGCCTTAACATTGGACGTTAGCGGAGTATCAAGTGAGGTACGACGAGTGATAATGTACGTGGTGGCTGATTTCCTCTATATCTCGTGAGGTATGCGGGAAACCGGGGGATCAGTTAGGATCAGGGCAATTGCGGCAGGCATCTACAGAACGTATTGCAGAAACTCATGTATGGTAGAAGTTGGGATAATAGTTTTCCTGCAAACTATCGAAGTCTTACTGTTCAAAGGTTGCTGCAACTGGGGGTGGGGTTAGGCAACCGGGGGCTGGACTCCCCCCGTGGTAGCACCAAACGGTATGTTCGGGACTTCAGGGTAGAGGGCGGGTTTTAGTGAATGACCTGTATGTATGAATGGTTCCGTGCGTCTGTGTGTGTATGGATGTGGCGTGTGTGGAACTGAGATCTTGGATTAATCCTAAAATGGTCATGCATCTCGATAATACAGATAAAAAGCAATATTTCAGAATATGTTCTAGCCTCTTGCAAGACTGAACCGGTTCCAGACTATGGCCGGGGATTGGTGAAGTATGTTGGGTCTTTCCTGGGATTCCCGTTAGGTTTTGTTTCGTCATTTGTAAGCGGATGTCATGCTGGTATCACCGCTAAAAGTACAATGTTATACTGGCCTTTTAGGGGAATGTTCATAAGCAGACCTTTTGGTGATGGTTGTAAGCTTTTGATGAAGGGAAAAAAGTTGCATTTGCTTAAGATTGTTTTGTATATGTTGTAGCGGTCATCGCTGTGAGGGGATGGGGTTAAGATGTATCATGTCCTACATTGTAATCTTTGGGCATTCAAGTTCGTTGGGCAGCACGCTTTTGCGGGGTAATATGTTGCTCTGTCACCTGGTGATATCACATGTATTTTTTTTATCGTTTATGGTGCATATAGCCAGTTGATGTCCAATTAAGCACCTTTACTAATATCACTGTATACAAGCAAGATATATTTTTTGTGGGTTTATAATTAGTTTAAGAAACTAAATAGGGGGTTGGTCGGGGTATTAGGTGTCTTAGTGTTTCTTCGTATGTAATCATACATGCTAGATCTGTAAAAGTCTTATGTTAATTATTAAAGGCTTTTGCATATTTTGATTCCATTTTCAATATATACAAAAACAAAAATAAAGAACACCATGTTTCAATTTCAAGAGTCTTGTAGGTTTTGATAGTAATTTTATATAACCATAGTACCATTGAGTGTGCAATGCATTAGTTTATATGACATTGTTATTGTATATAAAATTTCATACACAATATGAATAAAAGTGTCAGGTTTGGTTTACATAGTTATTTTGTGTTTAAGGTATGTTCAGATTGTCCTCCGTTTCGTTATATATATGTTGTCTTACATAATGCTTCACGTTTCTTGTTTTAAATCAATTATGTATACCATACATGTATACTGTGTTTTAAGTCAGTTATGTATACAAGTATACTGTGTTTTTTAAATATAAAAAAAAAAGATTTTCTCAACACGTGAGTATAAGATGGTCTTGTATTAACAGCACGGGAGTGTGGTAGCAGCTGGCTGGAGTGACGGAACAGTGGTCATGTACGACATTCGCTCATCCACGTCTCCCGTAGCTATCTCCTCCTCAGCCACGGCTGGGAAGCATCTTCTCCCAGTCATTCAGGTGCGACTCGAGGATCTTCTTGACTTCTGATATATAATTATATGCAATTGTTACAACCCCTGAATGGGATACAATGTATATCAGATTATATATATATATATATATATATATATATATATTATATATATATATATATATATATATATATATATATATATATATATTAAAATGTACATTACCTTTTCATATAATTTTATATTACTTATATTTGCGATAATAGCTAAATCGTAAATATATTGCTTTATATTATTATTTGGCTTAGTTACTATTGTTAGGTAGGATGTAACATATTATGTGCTCATAGTTCAAGTCTTGATTGTCTAACTACTGTAATTATCGCTGGTGGCTCGTTACTCTGCCGGCTTCTCTGTTGCTGAGCAGTAACTGTCCATGGAGCTATCACGTGATCAAGGGGGGTGTTCACACCTCGCCTGAAGTATTCAGTCTGGTCTAGACTCGCTTGGTGGTTGGATGCATTCTATACAAGATGAGCCTAAATCTCCCTTATTGGCCCTTGTTGGAAGATTGTCTCTTGTCTCATTAATGTTGTAGGTTCTGTAGAACTCTGTTCACAGAACACTCTCGAGACTTAGTGATTTTCGACATTGTACTGAGGTTGTGTGTCGCATAGACACTCTGAACAACTCAGGTCCTGAGCTGTAGCTTCTGACCTAATTTGTACTAGTATCTGTGTATTGTCACAGTCGGGGATTTTCTTATGCTGAACTTAGATTCAGTAGCATGGGAGTTGTGTGACTTTTGTGGAAGATATGCAGATGGTCCCTACTTAGTGTTGTTATATTATCTCCTTGATCCTGATTGTGTTGCAGTTGCTTGTTATATTGCTTTTGGGCTTAGCATTCTTTTTATTGTTCAAGCAGACTGTTCTGATTGCCAGTTGATCGAGAAGTTAGTTTATTTGAGGACTTCATCAGTCATTTGTTTAAGAATAGTCGAGTCGAGAGACAGTGAACTTAGAGCACTTACACACACACACACACACACACAAACTTATTTGCATATTGTATTATTAAATGTTAATATACCAGATGGTACTTAAGACATAAATATGTGATATGTGCTTTCAGCACAATAATACTGTACACGAGAGAAGTGATTAATATTATTTTGATTATTGTGATTAATTTAATTTAATTTGATATATGCCTAGACAACTTAATAAATTTATTAAATTTTAATTTCTCTAGTTAGTAGCCTACCAGTTTTAATCCTGAAACACTATTAATTCTTATTGAATTCTAATGGATAATTGGACAAGGGTACTGACTACTTGTTAGGAAAACCCAGTAACAGGCTGGATGCTAGAAGGGCAGTCCTTTCTAGTATTCACTGGAGATCTCTCAGCTTTTCAGAATCGCGTTTTTTGTAACAAATGGGGGCCTGTCCGAGATTCTCTTGATCCAAGGTGTTGGAGAAATTGTCCAGTTTGACCATAGTTATTCAAACACTGAGTACTTTCCTAATCTGAAGACTTCGAGTTTAGTCTTGTACAACATACTAAGTGGATGAATGCACTTGACTGAGTCTTTTGATCCAAGGAGATGGAAATACTGTTTGAGTTCTAGCTCTAAGACAACCAACACTAACATTCCTATTAGGATTATAGTTTCCCATAATCACTCTCTCGTAGTACATTTATTTTCCTGATGTATGCCTTAGTGAAACAGTTAATTGATACTCTGACTTTGTCTGAGTTGAGTACATTAAAACTTCAGACGTGTTGGCAAGTAGCCAAATATCTCTGTGTGGCGTAGAACAGGAATTACACCGCAGAAACTGTCAGAGAGTTAATTAAAAATACATTGTTTCCTGCTCATACAGAGATGTCTGATTATGATTCAGATTCAGAAAGCCTAGTGTCACAATTAGGAAGTATGACTATTTGATTACTTAGAAGAAAGAGCAACTAAGGCAGAAGTGTCTGAGCCTAATGAAATTTTGTTCTCGCTCACACCTTCCTGCCTCACTGACACAATAGTACAGAGTATAGCTGGTAGTATGACTCAGCCTCATACTAGTACCGTGTATGCTACATCGGTATCTACTTATCCTAGACCAGATCTAGACACTCTAGGGACGGTTGGACGAGGTGCCCGACCTAAGGACCATCCAGACTCATTCGTTAATTTCCCTACTCCTCCGTTACCCACTGGTCCTATCTCTCAGGAACAGTTTGAGAGGTTTGAACGCCTCATAATGTTGCAGACTGCACAAATAGAGGCACAGAGGAAATTGAACGAAGAAGATTTCCAGAGAGAAAATGTTCGTCTGGGAAGACAACAGACTGGTAGATCACAGGGAAACATTTAATGTGCAGAAAGCTCATCCATGGTCCTAAGTTTTTTGAGAGTGACTTAGACACCTATTTTGATGTGTTTGAGAACCAGGCACGTGCTTTGAACTGGCCACTTAAGCACTGGGCAACATTGTTGCATACAGCTTTGACAGGACGAGCTCAAACTTGTACTGCTGCTTTACCATTTGCCAAGTACATTAGTTATGATGCTGTCAAGCAAACTATTCTAGAGACATATAACTTGTTGCAACGTGCATTTCGTACATTACAACGACGACAAGATCAAACTTGCGTAGAGTTTGCTCGTGAGAAAAAAGTTGCATTTGAGAGATGGTGTAGGTCTGCCAAGTGCAATAACTATGACAGCCTAGTTCAGTTGTTACTTCACGAAGAGTTTAACAACTGTATGTCTGCTGATATAAGAGAATATCTGATTGATCATACTACCTCGGATATTCTGGAAACTGCAGCATTAGCAGACAATTACGAGATTTCTCACAAACTTGTACATACTAAAACACAGAAACAAGGTAACTAAAAATTGTCCTAGAAGTTGGCAACCTAAATCAGCTGCTCATTGCCGGCCTGATGTACCTGTTACTGTAACTTCTCGTACCTTTACCAGGAAAACTCACAATCTGTGGTTAGACAGAAATCTGATATCGAGAAGAAGAAAGTTAAATGTACTTATTGTAACAGAAAAGGACATGCTAGAGAATATTGCTATAAGTTAGAAAGAGATACGAGAAGCAGTCGTGCGGCTGGCGCCCCCACTCAAGTCGTATCCTCTTCCGAGCAACAAAGGCACCAAAATTCTAGTAATACCTCTGATCCTACAGTTTTAGATAATATTACTCAGGATAGATGACTAGCATCAGAAAGTGTATCTGACGAAAAGATTCGTTCAGCGATGAGTCCTTACTTTTCGAGAGGTAAAGTAGGATTTGACGAATCACATCTGAGATAATTACTTTCAGAGACACTGGCAGTTATCTCACCTTACTGAGAGAAGATGCACTGCCCATAACTGATGATACCTATTGCAAGATAGATGTATTGTTAGAAGCCTATGGAGGGGCTGTTATAAAAGTACCTCTGCACAAAGTTTACATTGAAACAAGCTATTATACTGGTTATATTTCAGTGGGTATATCCAGTGGTGTATTTCCCATCAGGTCAGTGGACTTGTTGATAGGGAACGATATCCTTCATGCTGGTATATGTAAGGAACCACTTGTGATTGATAATAACACTGATGATAATTATGCCACTGAAGCTTGTAGAGAGAAACCTATTTTATTTCCTCTCAGTGCAATTACTAGAGCTATGTCAAAGATACAACAACCATCCTTGTCTCCTGTTGAGTTAGTGGATGACAATGATTTGGGCTTGAATATGTTGTTTAGTGACGCTCTGCATCCAGGGTCATTAACACTGACTCCACCCAGTCATCAACCTAGTCAGGACACAACTGATGTTAAATTTCTAACTCATGATGATTTAATCAAGGATCAATTTGTTGATCAGTCACTGGAAAGACTGAGAGATATAGCAGTTACTGAGAGTGAAGCAAAGGATCTCGATAATTGTTACTATTATAGTAACGGTGTATTGATGGAGAAAAATACATGCAAGTTGTCAGCTGATAGTGTTTCCACCACAGTCAAGCATCTCGTAGTGTTACCTGGACCTGGAGTTTACCTGGAGAGAGAGCCGGGGGTCAACGCCCCCGCGGCCCGGTCTGTGACCAGGCCTCCTGGTGGATCAGAGCCTGATCAACCAGCCTGTTGCTGCTGGCTGCACGCAAACCAACGTACGAGCCACAGCCCGGCTGATCAGGAACTGACTTTAGGTGCTTGTCCAGTGCCAGCTTGAAGACTGCCAGGGGTCTGTTGGTAATCCCCCTTATGTGTGCTGGGAGGCAGTTGAACAGTCTCGGGCCCCTGACACTTATTGTATGGTCTCTTAACGTGCTAGTGACACCCCTGCTTTTCATTGGGGGGAAGTTGCATCGTCTGCCAAGTCTTTTACTTTCGTAGTGAGTGATTTTCGTGTGCAAGTTCGGTACTAGTCCCTCTAGGATTTTCCAGGTGTATATAATCATGTATCTCTCCCTCCTGCGTTCCAGGGAATACAGGTTTAGGAACCTCAAGTGCTCCCAGTAATTGAGGTGTTTTATCTCCGTTATGCGCACCGTGAAAGTTCTCTGTACATTTTCTAGGTCGGCAATTTCACCTGCCTTGAAAGGTGCTGTTAGTGTGCAGCAATATTCCAGCCTAGATAGAACAAGTGACCTGAAGAGTGTCATCATGGGCTTGGCCTCCCTAGTTTTGAAGGTTCTCATTATCCATCCTGTCATTTTTCTAGCAGATGCGATTGATACAATGTTATGGTCCTTGAAGGTGAGATCCTCCGACATGATCACTCCCAGGTCTTTGACGTTGGTGTTTCGCTCTATTTTGTGGCCAGAATTTGTTTTGTACTCTGATGAAGATTTAATTTCCTCATGTTTACCATATCTGAGTAATTTAAATTTCTCATCGTTGAACTTCATATTGTTTTCTGCAGCCCACTGAAAGATTTGGTTGATGTCCGCCTGGAGCCTTGTAGTGTCTGCAATGGAAGACATTGTCATGCAGATTCGGGTGTCATCTGCAAAGGAGGACACGGTGCTGTGGCTGAC